AAAGCTTTGTGCAGCCTTGATATATGTATATAAACTGAAACAGCTGGACTAGTGCATCCTAAATTTAACATCCATTCATTCTTTTAATACAACAGTCATTAAGTCATTAAGTCTTAAGTACAACGAATATCAGTTACTTTAAGACTTTTCTCAAGTAATTTTTTTCTAAGATATTTGTACTTTTACTCAGTATCACTTTGTGGTACTTTGTACAACACTGTTTGAGACACTTGGTGCTGAAATTCTATTTTCTAAATATTTTATCAGTTTCTTTCCACTGATTTAAATTTTAAAAATGGGAGCAGATTGAGTTCCAACATAACAAACTGCCAATAAATTTTATTGACTTTAGGAGAACTTTGAATATTTGTTCAGCCAGTCTAGATGTAAACATTTTGATTTTTGACTCATTTTTACATTTATTTTATTTACATGAAGCAGACCGGACCTTTAAATAATTCATTTTTTTCCTGTTAGGGTCATTTGTTAGTGTTTCAGATAATCTAATTCATCTTTTCAGTTTAATCGTTATATTAAAATGATTATTTGATGCAGGAAACAAAATCAGAACCATGACACTTCCACTACCATGTTTTACATCTGAAACTTGATCTTTGAAAAGAAAAATCTTTTTTTACACTAAACTTCACTGCAGAAATGTATCAGTTCTTTAAGTTGTTTAAATGCTCAGAAAATGCAGAATCTGATCTAAAGGCTGTTCTGGACACACCTTTCATCCGGGTCAAACATTTCTAATCTCTTCTTGCTCTCAGATGCAGAACTTTGACTCCAGACGTCGTGACGACTTTTCTTCTTAAAGTTCAGGGTTGAGCTGTTTTAGAAAACACAGAATTTATTTGAAGTTGTTGACATTTTACAAGAACGTCAATCATGTCAAATAATTTGAAGCTTTTCTATAATAAAATAATAAACTTTAACCCACAGCCTGATGAAAAATGTTTAATTCTTATACGTGACAAGTGTTTAATAATGAAATAAACAATGTTTTTAAATGGTAAAGACGTATTTGAGGGTTTTACAGGTGCTGATAGGCTCAAACACACAAACACATATTTAAAAATCAGTTTAATTCAGTACGTTGTAAAAGGCTTTGACCTGAATTTTAAGTTTTACAGTTTAACATCACATCAGTTTACTGAATCGTTTGTTACAATAAAAACATTTAAAGACATAATTTGATGGTTTTTGAGTCAGTAAATGAGATTAAATGAATTGATCTGAACAGAGAGCTCATCAATCTGCAGGAAAGATTAAAAAAAAACAGTTGAGATAGAGGATGGACTTTGTTCCTCCACATGTGAGTCCGGCCCTGAGTTTGGCTCAAAGTTCAGGTCACGCCGTCAGTTCCAGAACCGCCTCTTTAAAGACCAAACTGCACGCAGACCGAGCCACCAGAACCATGACCCGCCGGGCCCTGCTGCTTCCCCTCCTCCTGGGCCTGTGTGTCCTGGGAGCCACCGGTCAGGAGGCCGGGGACCCAGAGACGCCCCCACCTGCACCGCCTCTGTCGGGTGAAAGCTCCGACGGCACCCGGCCGGGCGAGGATGAGGAGGACCAGGAGTGGGGGATGAACTCCCTCAGAGGCAGCTTCGAGGCGGTCAGCGGATACTTTGACTCCATGCTGGAGTTTATGGGCGGACGGGACGGCGTGTGTCAGTACCGCTGCAGATACGGTGAGTCTCAGGTCCAACATAAGACCCAACATGTCTGACTCATACAGACCACATGTAACTCTGCTAAATACACTTTTAGTTTACTTTATTATTAAGTAGTATTTATTCATTTCAGTTTAAAAACCAAAACACACTACATACAATAAAACAATACAAATCAAACGAAAGGCATCAGAAGAATAAAAAACTATTATATCTGCTCC